CCCCAAAACCCCAAAACCCCAAAACCCCAAGACCCCATAAATCTGTTGAATTCGAAAAATTAGAACATTAAGATAAACCTTTTCTCTAAAAATTAGTTAAAAATGAACCATGAGGAATTCCTCGAAAAGCTAGCTTTAGCGAGAGGGGATTACAAAAAAGTTGAAGTCACCGAATCAGGCCGTAACTACATCAGAGATATACAAAGAAGGCTTCATGGGGAAAGCATCCTTGCTAAGAAGATTGAGATGGAACAAAAGCAAGAGAAATAAGAGACTTTTAGAAGAGAAATTAGAAAAAAAGCGCCAACTTCGTAATTCAGAACTTGCCTTCCACCGTGCAGGTGTCCGATGCATCGCAGTCAATGCTAAAGGTAGGAAGAAAATTGATAGAGCGAAGGATCTGTTTAAGAAGCATGGTAGTGTACTTAAGCATCTGCCTAGTGGGAAATCTGATCGTGAGTATGCAATTATTGAGAAGTATTTGATTGAAGAGAAAAAGTACTTCACTGAAAATCCTCCAAAGAGAAAGGTAAAGACTATCAGTAAGGAACAAGAGGAGGAGTACCAAAATAATCCTATTCTCAATATGCCTATCAAAAGACTTGATGGCGGGATTTATACCAAGGGTGTTGGGACATCAGAGGATAAGCTAAAGCCTTCTAATTCTCCCAATCCTAAAACTAAGAAAAAGTCTAATCTCAACACTGTGAACAACCAGATCATTTCTCAGAAGCAGGCTATGAAGAATGTAACAGATCCTGAGACGAGAATGAGAATAAAATTTGAAATGAAGCAGCAGAAATTGAAGCAAAAAGAGCTACAGCTACAAGAGCGTAAGAGGAAGATAGAAGAACGCGATAAGAAAATTTCGGAGATTAGAAAGATCGCACTAGAGAACCAGAAAAAAGTAGCCAGGAACAGAGAGATCGAATCGAGGAAGCAATCTTCAAGAACTCTAGCACTTTCTTCAGCAAGATCTGAGAACTATTCATATCAACGCAATTATGAGGAATCTGACACTGGGATCAACCAACAATTTGATGCAGAAATCGGTGAACAGAGAATTGCGACAGTTAAAGTGGATATAAATGAGGCTCCAAGGAGACGGCAGAAAAAGTCGAGAATTCCAAAGGAAATCTTAGCATTAGAGAAACGTCAAGCTACGTTTAAAAGAAATAAGATAGTAGTACCATCACCACAGCAGCCTATGAAGCAAGAACTTCCTGTCCCTGTTGTGAGAAAAAGGAAACCTGCTCCTCGGAGGGTTCCTGTAAAAAGAGTCTATGATGATGAGAAATATGATGACGACTTCATAGACGATAGCGAAGCTGGGACTTGGTGTATGGGACAAATCAGAGAAACTTGCAAGGATATATTTGGTAACAGCGTCGACGATTTCAAGGGTGAGAGATTAGAAGACATCCCCGAAGCAAGATTCAACCAGATCGAAAGAGAAGAAGAGGCTACTAGAAGGGAAGGGAAGAGGATTGATAGACTTGAATACTACAAATCTTAACATTCTAATTTATACTGAAAAGATACAGACATTTAGATAGTTTTAAAGGGAATAAAATTGGAACTTACACTCAGAGTGATATTTTAGCTTTTTGTGGGAATTTTATGAAGAAAATTTTAAGTAGATAACATCTTTTGGGGTTTTGGGGTTTTGGGGTTTTGGGGTTTTGGGG